CTCCAAAATCTTTGAGAGTAGAGACATGATATTATTTCATTTTAAATAAAAACTGTTCCTTGCACAGTATCTTGTGCCTGTAATTATTTGATAATTAAATAATAAATGTTGGATGAAAGAATATACCAATGAGTAAATTCAAGAGCAGAAGTGATAATATATATCATTTTGAAGGCTTTGATAGACTGTAATTATAGGCTGAAAACATCTCAAATGAGTCCTACAACTCTAATTAAGATTGTGTCTATAATCATAAAGTGTTTTTATGAATTTTCCTCTTTACAGTGACTCAATGTAGCAGATTGTGTCTAAGTGTGTGAGTGTGCACCCAAAATACTAATAGATAGATGTATCTTCAATAATATGTGAGCACCTCCATTGAACTTTTAGATAATTAAATGAACTTACTGTACCTCAGTGTCTGCCTTAATCTAGGTTCTGTCTTTCAAACTATGACTTTTGATGAAAAATCTTTCTTTTTCACCTGCAAGTAATATGATCTTAGGCAATTTACTTAACTTGTATGTATATTAGTTTTCTTATAAATAAATAAAAGCATTAATATACTTTGACAAAAAAAATTTATGGTTAAAGATTATTCAAACCAAAATCTCCATTTTATTAATACTAAAAAATTTCTAAGAGGGCCAAATAATGTTCAAAACATTCACAGACATCTTATGGTCTGCTTAAAAAATGTGATTTAGTTAACTTTTTTGCTGTTGTGACTAGAAGATCTGACCAGCACAACTATAGGGGAGGAAAAGTTTATTTGAGGGATAATGGTTTCAGAGGTCTGGGTCCAGAGAATGCCTGCTCCATTCCATGGGGCTTGAGGTGAGGGAGAACATCATGGCTTGAGAGTGTGGCAAAGGGAAGCAGCTCACATTGTGGTGATCAAGAAGCAGATAGAGCGACTCCACCTCCAGACACAAAATGTATACCTCATAGCCACACCCGCAATTAACCACTTCCTCCAGCCACAACCCATCTGCCTCTAGTTCAGACTCAGTTATTCCTATCAGGAATTAATTCACTGATTGAGTTAAGCCTCTCACAATCCAATCATTTCTCTCCTGAAACTTTTTGCATTGTCTCACACGTGAGCTTTTGGGGGACATCACATAACCAAACCATAACAAAATGCTAACCTGTATTATTATTACTGTACAGATGAAATGGATTTGATGATTCAAAATATTTATCATTCAAATAAATTACTACATTGTGGTACATCTTAGGGTTCTTAAGAAATATGGGGAATTACAAACTCTTGACCTAAGTTCTTCTAGAGTTTCTCATTTATTTTTAATTGATATATTTGTATTCTCTTTTTTCTTTAGTTACTTAACTCTTGTTGCTCGCTGTTTTTCAGATCCAAAATTCTAATATAATTTTTTGCCCTTGAATCTATTAAAGTTCACACATAGTTAATATATTTCGAGTGTATTAATGCTTAATGAAAAAAAAAGAAGGATGGGAGGACAACAGGGAAGTAGTTAATGAATTCAAGATGCCCTATCCAGATTTTCACTACAAGTAGTTCAAGAGTCTGATAATATTGACATAGAGGTAATAATGAATTAATAAGATTATAATGAGGTTTTTGAATCCATATCCACCTAAATTTATGCCTTATTTTCAAGTGTTACAAGTAAATGTACCAACTTACATATATGTGTATACATGAATTTTTTTATCATTACATTGTTACAATTCTGTCTTCATTACTAAATGTCAAATTTAACATATTGAAATAGAAACTTTTATAATAAAATTAAGTTCACTTTTATTTCTTCATATGTTGACTTGTCCCAAGAATCCTTCAATCTATTTCTGAAAATTTTATTGATTCACCTGTTTTTTTTATTCTTTTCCAAATTGGACAGGTTGTCAAGGCAGCCGCTTTGTGGTGTTCTGTGCCTGAGAACTCTCTTCTAGAAGCCAGCTACCATGGGAACTTGCTTGGCAGGTGCAATCTAACTTCACAGTAATTTCATCTCCTTTCTTCCTACTTCTGCCAACCTTTGACTGTTAACAGCCATTTCGATAGTGAGCAAGAGGAACAGAAAAAACTCTGAAAAGGAAACTTAATTTACTGGCTTATTAGTTTTATCAATAAAGGCTTTTTCTGTTAAAGTACAACTAGAGTTTGTATCCTACTTTATAATCTTTACTAACACTTTTTCAATTAGTATTATTCAGTGAGTTTGTAATCAAACAAATCCAACAATTAAACTGCTTTAAAAAGTATGCTTCAAAATATTATTTCTTTCTTTGTATATCAGAAAGCATCAGTTAGTTTAATATGTTTTATTTTTAATGATTTTTAATGCATTGTGCAATCTGTATAAAAATAAAGACAAAGAAAAGCTGGTATGTTTAGCCAGTTTTAATTTTATTTTTTTACAATGGTTTGGATCATTTCTCATTTTATTACTTTCATTAATGAGATCTGAAATGCTTAAGACTACAATCAGAAAATAATTTATTCCATGGTAATTTATTTGGAAGTTACCACTTTTGAGACTTGTTTAGGATAGGAGATCTAGAAAATGAGACCTTTTATAAGTTATCCTCTTCTATTTTTTTTCTTTCTTTCCCTCTTCTAAAAGCTTAATTTGTGCCTGTATATTTCTATGACACAGCAAATCAATAAGTGGAAGAAAAAATACACTCAGTTGATCATATGTTTTTGGCCATATGATGTCTACCACCTAGCACTATAGGTGTTTTTTCCCTTGTATGACCTCATTTTTCTGGTGGGAAGTAGAAAACGCCAATAAGTATATATGGGCAAAAATTATGTGTTTCTCTTATAGTTTTAGATTCCTCCAACATGGGTATGTACAGCCCCATAAACTTGTAACACATTTGAAAATAAACTTTTAACATTTTTTAGGGCCAAACACATAAAAATATTACAATTCAAATGATAATTTTTTTGTCCACACATCATTCTCTAAATGAGTTAATATGTGCACTTTTGATATGCAAATTATATAAAAGTTTTGTATTTTATTTACAGTAGCAAGCATATGTAAGAATGAGTTTAAAAAAGCATAGTAAGTTTTAAAGGAAGTGGCTGAAATCATATTGATATATTGGGACTATATTTGTGACCATTTCACAAAGTTTGAGTGGTAGCAATTACTGGAAAAAGAATATGGAGGCAGAGTAATATTTACATAACAAAAATAATGACCTATGTTCTCATTCATATGTATGTGGAAGCCAAAAAGATGATTTGAAAGAGGAGAGTAAGAAGAGTTTGATAGTGGGTACCAAAATTCAGTTAAGTGCTATGAGTTCTAGCATTCTCTATAGTACACAGTGGAATGATCCCATACAACAATTTATTCTGTATCTTGTAGAAACTCTATAACCATTATTTTTATCATTATACTTTTTACATATATCAAATTAAACACTGTCCTCATAAATATGTGTAAAATGAAATTGTGTAATAAAAAAAGTAATACATCTACAAAACAGAAAAATTGTAGATTATAAACATTAAAAAGGCAGTACATCAGACTTAAATAATTTGTATTATAGGAATCCATAAAATAAAATAAAAATTAACAATGTTTTATTCAATATTGTAAGCTTGGAAAATATGTAATAATATTCAATGCCATATAAACAAATACAATGCACTCTGAATTAAATTTCATTGTTTTGACTTGAGCCTGAATACATCATCAAGTGTTTAATTTAAATTTCAACTAAGCCAAATGTGAAATAATTTAACAATTTTAATATTCAAATTTGTTTTGTCATACTGTCGTTATTAATCTATTGTCTATCAGCTGCAATCTGCGTGATACTTTGCTTTCTCATGCTGAAACTGAGACTTACACACATTTGTTTTTGGTAGTTGACCTTCTGTCATATTCTACCAATAAGGGACACTGGAGGCATACTGGAGAACAGAGGGAACGGAGAAGAAATTTTATGTATTTTTTCCTTTATGGGAGCAATTGTATCTTTCACAGACTTTTGGCAGTTCCTCACAGAATCCAGCTGCTTTGCCACACTTAGAACCAGTCTCTCAGGGCCCATAAGTTTCCTGGGGGGATGAGGTCACACCCCACTAATGAGTTTGAACTCCAGTTCCTTTGTTCCGCAGTCCTAAGTGTAGAAGCTGCTTTCTTTAATTAACAATTCTGGGTTTAATAGAAACCTTTAAGAGCCTCTGTTCTATTTGACTTCTCCATAAATTGTGTAAACAATTGCCTATATTACTTCTGTCTATTCAGGAGACTTTCAGATAACCAATATGATCTGATCTGTATACTGAATAGTTGCTATCATAAGAATCCAATTTTTGTAATTTTGCCTCACATATGCTCTTTATTTTTCTTTGTATTATTGTTATTTTCAGTTATTTTTTATATGTAAGATAATTAGAACAATATTAAACATTATCCCATTTCTTTAGAATTTTTTCTTTCATTACTTCATTCTAGTATACTTTTACTTAGTTGGATTTTAAATGTTTTTAACAACATAATTAGTACTTATAATTCACCATTCAAAATAAAAAATATTGTGCACTGGCTAATTATTGTTGTTGTTTTTAATAATGGTGGTAGGTCAGTTGGATAACCACGTGGGAGTAAATGTATCTTGATTCTTGTTTCACATCACACATAAAGATAGATGTAGTTATAACAGAAATCAACAACTCATTATGTGACTTTAGAAGAGAGAACTAAGTTTAAAATAAGAGAGATCAATAATTATAAGAGAAATTTTTCTAAATTGAACTGTATTTTAAAGCTTTTTTTTTTTAAATTGCTAAAAGTATCATTAATTGGGCAAACAGATGACTCAGAGTAAAATGAAGTGTTTCTAATACATATATGTGACAAAAGATTCATATCTAGATATGAAAAGAAAATCAACAACAACAACAATAAAAAAAAAAAAAAACAAACATAAACCAAGTAGAAAACAGGAAGAAGATGTGCACATACAATTCTCAAAATAATATAGCAAGTATACTCAGCACCCAACTGTAGCCTCCGGCGGGTACTTTTTCTCTCTACCAGAGAAATATTCCAGGGTACAGTGGCTGCCTGGATATGTCAGGAGAAATGCAGCTGTCTGGGAACGGAAGGTGCTTAAAAAAAAAAAAAAAGCTTATGTCAGATAGGCAATTAAGCAATATTCATTAGATAAGTATGAGAATAGTTAAGATAGAAAATAACAAATGCTGGCACTGATATGGAACATAATAGTAGAACATTATAGTAAAAACTACTACAATGATTTTGGAAAGTTCTTTAGCAGGATCTACTAAAGTTGAAAGGGTGTAACAGACCCTATGACCCAGCAGTTGTTCTCTTAGAAAAATACCTAAATGCATACACATGTTCAACAAAAGACAAGTATTCTTGTGATTTGTTCTAGCAATATTTGTAGAAGCCTCAATTTGGTAGTTATGTAAAGATCTATTTCCAGAAGAAGGCTGAATGAATTGAGACATATTTACAAAATGAAACTATATGAAGGGAATACTTAACCCTTCAAAACTACATCTTGAAAATATGAATAAAAATCACAAAGCTATTTTGCAAAATAAAAGACACTATAATACATCTTGTGTAGTCTTGTTTTCATAAATTACAAAAACTAATCTAGGTTGCTAGTAGTCAGGATAAATAGTTACTCTTGACAGGAGGAGGAGTTAATAAATGAATTAGAGGTTACTCTTTTTGTCATTTTATTTTGTATTATGTATATAATATTTATACATATTTATGAAATACAATGTGATATTTTGATTCATTTATACTTTCTTTGTAGTGAGTACATTCAAATAACACTCTTCTAAGTACTCTAAGATATATAAAGCTCTATCATTAATTATATTGATACTTCTGTGCCATATACACCAGAAATTGCTACTACTCTCAAATAATAACACTGTGTCCCATGACTAACCTCTCCTCCTCTCTTCCTCCCAGTGATTGGTAGTTACTATCCTACTCTCAACTCCCATACATCAATTATTTTAGATCCCACATAGGTGTGAGGTCTGTCTGTGTTTGCCTTTCTGTACCTGACATACTTCACTTAACATAATGACATCTAGGTCCATCCACACTGTTGCAAAGGACAGAATTTCATTCCTCCTGGTGGCTGAATACTATTCCATTTTATATGTGTAGCACATTCCCTAGATACTCTTAACATTGTTACTTGATCTAAATGTTTAAGTGTAGGCTCAATTTATGAAAATCTATGGGGTATACATTTGTGAAAAGTGAACTGTTCTTTAAATATTTTCTACTTCAATATGAAGTTGAATAAAAACCAGAAGAAAGAAAGAAAGAAAGAAAGAAAGAAAGAAAGAAAGAAAGAAAGAAAGAAAGAAA